CTAGGTGTATCCATTTTGTCACAAATGGCAAAAAAAATCTCATTTTTTTATGGCTAATATTCCATCACACACACATCACATTACATCACATCTTCTTTATCCATTCATCTATCAGGGGACACTTAGATTGCTTCTGTATCTTGGCTACTGTAAATAATGCTACAATAAACATAGTGGTACATGTACCTTTCAAGTTAATGTTTTCATTTTTTTAAGGTAAATACCCAGCAGTGGAATTATTGGATAGTATATTTCTATTTTTAATTTTTTGAGGAACCTCATACTGTTTTCCATGGTGGCTGCACCAATGTACATTCCCATCAACCATGCATGAAGGTTCCCTTTTCTCTACATCCTTGCCAACATTTGTCATTTTTTGTGTTTTTGATACTAGCCATTGTGACAGGTGTGAGTTATTACGGTTTTGATTTGCATTTCCTTGATGATTAGTGATGTTGAGCATCTTTTCATGTGCCTGTTGGCCATCTCTAAGTCTTCTTTGGAAAAGTATCTATTCAGGTCCTTGGCCTATTTATAATCTGATCGTTTATTTTTGGTGTTGTTTATGTTTTGGATATTAATCTCTTATTGAATGTATCACTTGCAAATATTTTCTCCCATTTGGTAGGTTGCTTTTTTCAATGGTTTCCTTTGCCATGCAAGAGCTTTTAATTTTGGTGTAGTCCCATTTATTTTTGCCTTTGTTTCTCTTATCTGAGGAGACACATCCATAAATACGTTGCTAAGACCAATGTCCAAGAAATTACTGCCTTTATGGCTCCAGTTCTCACATTTAGGTCATTAATCCATTTTGAGTTTATTTTTATGTATGTGTAAGAAAGTGATCCAGTTTTCCCAACACCATTTATTGAAAAAAACTTTTTGTCAATATATATTCTTTCCCCCTTGTTATCATCGATGAATTGACCATATAAGTATGGATTTATTTCTGGGCTCTTTATATCCTGTTCCATTGACTTATGTGACTATTTTTTGTGTTAGTACCATACTGTTTTGATTACTGTAACTTTGTAGTGTATCTTAAAATCTGGAACTGTGATATCTCCAGCTTTGTTCTTCTTTCTCAAGGTTGCTTTGGCTATTTAGTGTCTCTTGTGGTACTCTAAGAATTTTAGGATTATTTGTTCTAGTTCTGTTGTCTTATAATTGTTTACACTGAATGCTGGACATCACGTGTAAGATAGTAAAAATGGAGGTAAATAGTATTTATGGCTGAAAATGTGCATGACTCTTCTTTTGTTAGAAAATGTACAGGTCTAGGGCGCCTGGGTGGCTCAGTTGGTTAAGCGACTGCCTTCGGCTCAGGTCATGATCCTGGAGTCCCGGGATCGAGTCCCACATCGGGCTTCCTGCTCAGCAGGGAGTCTGCTTCTCCCTCTGACCCTCTTCCCTCTCGTGCTTTCTATCTCTCGTTCTCTCTCTCTCTCAAATAAATAAATAAAATCTTTAAAAAAAAAAAAAAAGAAAATGTACAGGTCTGAGTTAATTTAGTCAGGAGTCATCTTATTTAGGTTTTGTTGTTATGGTTACCTTCAGTACAGCACTGGCTTCAAATCCCTCTGGCATTACCTTGTGCTTAATTTGAAGGATTGGTTGCTCTACTCTTAGCTTTTGACCTCTCTATTCATAGTCTTTACCTCTCCTCCACCAGTGGACACTGCTAATATTGGATACTTAGTGCTTGCTAGCTTGCTGTGGGGCAGGGGATTCCCCATTGTCTTGATCCAGCCTTAGCTCAGATAAGCCCTATGTCCCTGAATCCTGGTGAATGGGCTTTCTCAGTGATACCACCCCTCCCCTCAGTGATAGGATGCCTTTAGTGGCCAGGGTCAGGATGACTTCCTGTTCTCCCCCATGATTAGGGGGGATTTCCTATTTCCTCTCCTGCAGTCATAATAGGTCTTCATCTGAGGACAGTTTTACTACCCTCCCCTAGTGACTTACTGGTGTTTGTTCCACAGGGAAGGAGAGTCAGGCAAGGTTTTGTGTTTTTCTCAAAGCATCAGCTATTCTCCTTCTCCGGGCCTGTACTACTCAAGAAGGCTTTCTCTCGTCCCTTGCCCCATGCTCAATTCTTCTCTTAGGCACCCTGTGAGGTCCAGAGAGAAAAGCCTATGAGTGGGTACAAACTCCCCTCTGTTAAAAGCTTCCAGGGGTTCTAATTTCTCTGTTATCCCACACTCAGTTTTTACCAATTTGTTAAAAATTTTCACTGGATTTTTCTTACCTGTTATTGTAAGGAGTTTGTCATCTCTTTCTTCTGTGTTTTGCCAAAGGTATATTTGCATCCTGTCTTTCCTTGAAGGAGTCTGTCTTTTCATACATTTCAGAAGACTTGGGTGCAGTGTAACTTAGGATCTCTGGTGGGTTTAAGAAAAATTATGATTTTGTAGATCATACAGTTTGTTCTTGTTCAAAGGGTAGTATGACGCTCTTCCTAGCCTTCTCCATCCTAAGCAAAATTGAGATTCTCTAGTAGTTTGTTGTTGTTTTGAATGTCACAAGCTGGCCCTAAAATTTATATAAAAATGAAAAAAATCAAGAATTGCCAAAACATTCTTGAAGAACAAGAAGCTGATGATAAACAAAAGAGTGAATTATTGGTGCAAAGGCAGACAAATAAACCAATGGGACAGAATAAAAGTCCAGAACAGATCCATAGAAACATAGACATTTAATTTACAACAAAGGTGGTACTGCAGAAAAGTAGAGGAAAAAGACAGTCCCAGTGGACAATTAGATAACCACAAGGAAAATAAAAACCCACAAAATACTTAAAGGCTACCTCACCTAATAACCAAAAAATAATTCCAGGTGGATTGCAGAACTAAATGTAGAAGGCAAAACAATGTTAAAACTTCTAGAAATTAACATAGGATAATATCTTCATGACCTTGGGGCACTCCACAAAAATCAATAATCATAACGTAAAATAATTTGAATATGTTAAGATTATTTGATTATCAAAAACACCATTAGGAGAGTGAAAGACAAACCATAATGGACTGGGAAAGACATCTGCAACATAGAGCTGACAAGGATTCATAAAACACTCCAACAACATAATAGAAAAATAAAAATGGGCAAGAGATTTGACTGGACAGCACACAAAAGAGGAAATTTCATTAGCCAATAAATATATGTAAAGGTACTCAACTTCATTTGTAACCAGGGAAATGCAAGTTAAAACCACAATGAGATACCACTAAAAAACCACCAACAATTTCACTCCCAGAAATAACTCAACAGAAATTTAAGTATGGTATACCAAGAAAATATGTATAAGAATGCTCAGAGCAGCACCATTTGTAAGAATAAAACATTGAAATCAATCCAAATATCCATCTACAGAACAGGCAAGTTGGGTATATTCCAAAAACGTAATATTCTACAGCAAATAATATGAATAATTGCTTTATGCAACAGTAGACGTGGAGCTCAGAAACAATACAGAGCAGTTAATATAGGGCAAAATAAAAGCAATTAATATACAGTAAAATACTGTATAATTCCATTTAATATAAACTGCAAAAAATAGGCAAAACTATAATGTTGAAGGGTACAAGCTTAGGTGTTATAACATCAGTATATGGTTAACTTTGTAAGGGGAGAGGGAAGCAATTGTGAGAGAAAATACTGAGGCTTCTGTGATGTTGGTATTGGTTTACTTCTTACCTGGTTGGTAGTTACATGGGTGTCCACTTTGTAGACAACTGACCTATATATTTATGTCTCCCATGCTTTACTGTGTGTATATATATATATATATATATATATATAGTATACTTCATTATAACCTCCCCCTCTACCCCAGAAAGTTTCTGGCCATTGGTGAACTTATTTTTTTTATTAGAAGTGTTTCTAATGGAGAGATGCAAGTATCTGAACTCTAATGTACTCTTTGGTTCTGATATTCTAGGATTCTAGAAAGATATTTGGTATGTTTTTTGGAGTGTGGTGATTGGGGGGTGGAATTCTTCCCCTGTTTGGAACTGAGATACACAGAATTCAGATAAAAGTAAATAATATTACTATATTACTGACAAAAAGCTGGATTAGAGGATATATGACCATAGTGGGCTACCAAATGCCCAACCCCGAAATTAGATGGACTTGCCCACCCAAGTCCAAGGCAGAGATGGACAGGTTTCCCTATAGCCTGCCTCAGAAAGCTCAGGATTTGGCTAAAATCAAAGAAATGCAGACAGGAAGAAATTTACCCATAAGATGCATCACTCCTCCTTCCCTGGCATGGAGTGAGTGGGGCAGCTTGTCTTCACCTTCTGGAGAGTGGAATGGAAATTCTCTAAACTCTATGGAAATGTGAAGAATAAGGAATAAATATTACCCCTAACAACAGGCAGACTAGCTGTGCTTGACAGTCTATCTTTAAAGTCAGCTCTTTGAAGCTTAGCAAAGGCTGCCATAGGCTAAATTTTAGAACAAGTTTCATTCTTGTTCTTAGAGCTACTTTTTCTTCTTCCACTTATGAACCTGCATATATACTCCAGCCACCATCTTTTCAGTGGCTTTCCTGGAAGCATCTGCAGAGACTTGTGGGCAAGGGTAAAGGAGAAGAGAGCAGGTGATTTTACACGTAGCTCTTTTCTAAGTCATGTATTTATGAGAAAAAAAATTATCTTTCCCATTTCTCTATGAGATGTATTAAACTGGCACACAACCTTTAGTGTCTCTGGAGCTTATTTAAATCATTCTTTTCTAGGTAAAGTTAAGCCTGGTTCAAGTACCTGCTTTTTGGTATTTAGAAGTGCTCAATGATTATTTATATTAGCCTTCTCTCAAAAAAATGATAAAAACAAATATATATAAAGTCATTTCCTTCTCATAGTGATGACAGTTGATTACTGTGTATTCACAAATACTTTTATTCATGATTTTAATTAGCATGGATAATTTGGCCCAAGTCATTTCAGCTCAGACACAGTAGCACATGTTTGTTTTATTTAATTAAACTTTTATTTTTATTTTGAGGTAATTGTAGATTCACATGCAGTTGTAAGAAATAATGCAGATTCCATTGTGCCCTTTTACCCAATTGCCTCCAATAATAACACCTTGCAAAACTATAGTACAATAGCTCCCAAGATATTGACACTGACACAGTCAAAATACAGAACACATTTCCATCATCACAAGGATTCCTTATGTTACCCTTTTATAGCCACACATAATTCTCTTCCCTGCAACCCTCCCCCCTTAAATTCTGAAAACCACTAATCTGTTCTCCATTTCTATAATTTTTGTCATTTCAAGAATGTTCCATAAATAGAACCATATGGTATAAAAAATTTTAGGATTGGCTTTTTCATTCGGCATAATTCTCTGGAATTCATCCACGTTGTTACACGTATCCATAGTTTGTTCTTTTGCACTGCTGAGTAGTATTCCATGGTATGCATATATCACAGTTCATTTGACTATTTGCCCATTGAAAAACTCTGCATTGTTTTTGGCTATTACAAATAAAACCTCCATGAACACTCATGTAGTTTTTTTATGTGAACACAAGTGTGTGAAACATGTTTATAATGACATGTAACTCTTTGCCTAATTTTCTGGCTATTTAAGCCAGAGACAAAGCAAAAGATGTGAAGGTATTTGCTAAAGGTCATAGACTGCTTCTTTATCAACTAATGGTTTTTATCAGTACTTGGAGCTTTATAACTATCTTGCTACCTGACCTTGGAAAGCCCCCTGAATTTCTCTGAGCCTCAACTAGACCAGATAAATGTTTTTCAAAGTGTACCATTTGAAACACGAACTCCATAAAATGGGGAGGGTTTCACGGTGCAGTAAGTTTGAGGGAAATGCTGAATACCATATTTCTCTTTTGAAATAAATGAATGCTCTTTGGTGTAAAAAAGGAAGGATCCAGTATCCCACTGTCCAAGTTCAAACTCCAGTTCCAGCGCTTGCTGGAATAGTAACCTTCAGCAAGACACTTAACACTCCCATACCTCAGTTTTCTCATTTCTATAAAGTGGAGACAACAACAGTACCCCACTCATATGAATGGAAGACTAACTATAATAACACAAGAAAACACTTCATAAATTGTTACCTATTATTCTATTTCCATCATAATCAGAATCATCAAAATCATTATAATCTTGTTAAAAATACACATGTCCAGGCCCCACCCCTGCAGATTATATTCAGTAAGTCTAGGGTAAAGCCTGGTCCAGATGAAGCAGAGGTTTATTTATATTAAGAATGTGTCCAATATAGTCCAAGGCAAGATTTAAATCTAGACCAAACTGACTGATGGAGAGTTGTCATACTTATATCAGCACACAAATTTAGTAAATCCTTTAAATGACTAACGCTGTAGTCCCACAAAAAGAGCACAGTTCTTTCCTCAATGGAAGGTTGGGCTTCTAACACAAACTCATGATTCCCCAAAGGGTCGTTCATTAAAATAAAACGCATTTCTGTGCAGCTGGTACACATCAGCTTTCAGAAAAATTCCTAAATGTAGCAGTTAGCATTGATATATAAAAATTTTATTTGTGAGTCACTGCTTAGCAAATCAAATCTGAAAATAAGACATATTATTTCTTTAGAAATACAAGAAAACTATGATTGCTATTATTCCTGTAGGTTTCATCACCACACTGCTACTTCCAAAAGTCGTCTTATTGCTAAGCATCAGGCAAATTTCCAGAACACTTGGGGAACTCACTCTAGAGGTGGTGGCAATCTTTTTACCACTTCTGCAGCAATCCTCAGGTAAGCTTTGGCCTGGAAAAGAAGAGACTCATTTGTTCTGTATTTCTCCCCAGCAGACATCAAATGACTCATGAACTGTTTGCCAGAGCTGTCTCCTGAACTGAAGAGTGAAAAGGCTGAATGAGATGAGGAAATTCAGCAGTGCAGTGAGAGGATGCTGTTGCGTACACTGCAGGTGTGACAGGGAAGAAAGGATTTCAGATTATTTAGGGGGCAAATGCTTAGAAGGGGACTTTCTGAAAAAATATTTAATGCCAGCAATTACTGTTTTTAAGCTCTAATTCCCATGTCAGCAAATCAGCAATCCAGTCTAGTTGTGGAAAAATTATATCTTCCTCTTCTGACAAATTGATATCTTGAGTTAGATACTGCCAGAACTTCTTTGGCATAAGAGCTGTTAGTCATTTTAAATAGGACTGTTTATTACCACCCTATGGTTTATCTTCGGAAAGCATCTTCTTCATCTCTTTGAGAATGGCATCCAGTACCAGCAGTGAGCGCCTCATAGGTTTCTTCACCTGCTGAATTTTGGGTACCAGGCAAGAATTCCTGGGATCAGTTGTTACACTCTTCATCTGTGGGATCCCCAGTGCAGCTGAATACTAAGAGCAACCCCCAAGCCACTGTGGGCCACAAACTAAGCCAATGCTTACATGGTCCAGTCAGAACAATGCTCATGACATTTGCATCTTAAAAGTTTTAAATAATTGCAATGCAAATATTATTTATTTCTCCTATCTTATCTATAAAAAGTAACTGTAAGACACAATAGTAAGATCTTCTAAAACCATTAATTTATATACTTAGAGTTATGAATATACCACCCCCACCACCACCACTACTACTACTACATCTACTATGACTGATAATAGCTAAAATTTACTTGAGCACTTAATATTTACCAAGTATTGTTTCATTTAAACTCACAGCTACCCTAAGGGATAAATTCTGTCACTAACCCCACTTTATAGATAAGGAAACCAAGAACCAGAAAGGTGAGTGGTCTTGCCCAAAACATTACAGCTAATAGGGGATGAGCTGGTCTTTGAACCTAGGCTGACCAACTCTGACTCTGCATGCTAAAAGAACTATTTGAGGTTTGTTTACCCAGACTTGAAGAAGTGTTTTAAGTGTGTTTCACACATTTTCACTTTTGAAAACCATGCTTGAACCCTAACAGCTGAATTATGCTTTATTCTACCAGAAAAGAGCTAAAATCTTACCTACGAGTTCATTAAAAAAAAAAAAAGAATAGTTTTCAAAATATGAATAAAGCCTTATTTTTTTTATCGAGTACCTACTCTACCAAGTACTTTGCATAAGTAATCTCACTTATGTAAAACAAGCATCATCAACTCAACTTGGATAAAGCAAACAACTAACTGGGAGTTGTTTGCTCAAGGTCACAAAGTCAGTAAGTTGGAAAACATTCAAACCTGGGTCCACCTAACTCCAAAGCCTAGATCCTTCTACTACATATTAAACAGTAAGTCCAAAGTACAACCAATCTTAATCATAATGCTTTTATCTAAAAAATGGTTTCACTATGTTATAGTTAACAGAAACAAGTTTTGTTTAAAAATGGAAATAATATATACTTCGTAAATATTTCTCTTAAATTTAGTGTGCTGATTTTTACCCATGCATCTTTGTAAATACCTTTTATCTCCTAGTAGCTTTTCTGACTGTTTTAAGCCTAAAATTTTTGTGATGAAAAATGTAAAAGTTCACTAAAGCAAGGTGAGAGAAGGCCATCATTCTATCATCTTTAAATTCTTACTTATGTTAAATTAGAGACATAAACCTATCAGACTACACAAAATACTGAATGATTCCAGAATAATCAAATTTACTACATTTAACCTCTGCTTTTTTTTTTTTTAAAGATTTTATTTATTTGACAGAGACACAGAAGAGAGAGGGAACACAAGGAGGGGCAGGGGGAGAGGGAGGAGCAGGCTTCCCGCTGAGCAGGGAGCCCGATGCAGGGCTCAATCCCAGGACCCTGGGATCATAACCTGAGCCAAAGGCAGACGCTTAACAACTGAGCCACCCAGGCACCCCTTAACCTCTGCTTTTTAATGAACTATCTCCAAGCTTAAACTTTCAATATATCACACTCAAAGTACTGGTTAGATTGTCATTTGCTAAGAAACCACTGAAAGTGCTTAATTTCAGTTTCAATTTCTACGAAACTGTTGAGATGGAATTTTTTCAGCCAATGCAGTATCATTTCAACAAATACGTTTTGGTTCTTATCATATGCAAGTTACCGTTTTGGAACTCTGTGGGACGTAATGATACAAAAGGAAGGGAGAATAGCTCACTTGTGAAGAGTTGGGTGTTCTGAAGTCAGACAGGCATGGTTTAAAATCTTAGCTCCATCATTTATTAGCTATGAGGCCTTAGGAAAGTTATTTAATTTAACCCTTCTAAGACTCAGTTTCCACATCTCTAAAATGGCTGAAGTAACAGTATCTACCTCAAAGGGTTTGGGGGAATGTTAAGTAATAATAAAATATGTGCAGTACTGGCACAAAAGAAGCAAATATTAGGGCTGCTATTATTACTATTACGTCCTCAAGGAATTTACAGTCTCATTGAAGAGCTCTTATGAACATGTACTCGTAGGTACTTCTCCTGGCTGAGGCACAAGTAAACTAAATCCCTCCCTTTTGTTTAATCCATAACTAGCAAAAATATATGATATTTGTATCATATGTAAAAAATATGATTTCGATTTCTCAAACTGTTAATACTCTCTTTTTTCATCAGCTCAAATATATACAGAATAACATTTCTATTCGAGATCTTTTATTGGGCTATCCAGAAGCATGGATAATACAGCTGGATCCTATTTGTCTGCTCTATATTAACAAGTTAAAGGAAAGGGATGGCAATCAAAGTGCAAGAAGTTTTATAGAGAACTTTTTCCCTTTGTCTTTGTTTTTAAATATTTGAAGTTCTACTTCATCATACACAATCATTTCATATTAAGATTATAAGGTAATAATTTAGAAGTTCTAAGATAATAAAGTTTCCACTTATATTTGAAAGTCTTTTTTTTTAAGATTTTATTTATTTATTCATGAGAGACAGAGAGAGAGAGAGAGAGAGAGGCAGAGGGAGAAGCAGGATCCCCTCTGCGCAGGGAGCCCAATGCGGGACCCGATCTCAGGACCCTGGGATCATAACCTGAGCTGAAGGCAGACGCTTAACCATCTGAGCCACCCAGGCGCCCTATATTTGAAAGTCTTTACCAGAAATACCTTATAGCATACTTTTCTGTATGCCAATATTAAGATTTTTTACTTGATAACAAAAGGATGAAACCACAAAATTATTAGTCAATCATGGGTCCATTACTTGTGTCCTGGACTCAAGCAAAGGCAAAAGGTAGATAAAGTTGAATTAGCAATTATAATCACACAAACAAGAGGCATTGCTACTGAATTTAAGAGTTCTGAATCCTAAGTGTCCACGTCCTCTCCCTTCCTCTGTGGCTTTCTCTGGCTATTATACACTACCATATTTGGAGTTTCAATTATTCCCCTTTCATTAACAGTGCACATGTTCAGAAGGTTTTGCCCAATGACTGAGGAGGCAGCAGCTTGCTGATGCTTTTTAACTGGTGCTGTAACTCTTCCAGCTTTTCTGATGATGCCTTAAATTCAGCATGAATAATATTTTAAATTAATCACTATGATACAGTATTTGTGTCCTCTGAAAGTTAAATGTTACTGGAAGAGTGAAGTCCCTAATGCCCAATTTTAAAAGATCTGCAGTGCAGAGAATGACAGCCCTGGAATCTGGGGTTGGGAGGAGGGAGTGATGGAAAAACAGAGAAGATGGAGTTAGAAAGAAAACAAAAAGATAAAAATGAAACCTTTACTGATTAATAATTTTACCTGTAGGTCAACCCCTAAAAGCAAACAATAAAAAGTGTTGATCTAAGGGGCCATTGATTAACAATTTTATGGGTTCAGTCCCATTAACTTCTGCAGAAGTTTATCATGTTGGCAAGTATAAACTTTATTCTTTAAATGAAGACATGCAAGTAGAATGGGTATTAAGCTTCCACAAATACAACAGAATTTGCTGAGAGGGCTGTGACTAGCTCCTATGAGCATATTTCCATTGGTGTTCAAAGGGGAAAAGGGAAGGGGGTTATCAAGAGGCAAGATTCATCACAAGAGTAAACAGAAGGATCCTGTGATATGAATAGGAGGCAAACTGGAAGCTAGTCTAAATATACATCATAGACACTGAACTAATCTTGCTGTTTATTAGAAAGGGAAGCAAGTACTGCATTCAGAAGAAAATGTATAGAATATGGTGTCAAAGCTGTGAGGGGAAAGAGCCTCTAGCACTATCTTGGACAGTTCTTTACTGTAAATGAACCTCTGCTTCTTCATCTGAAAAATGGAAATTATTATACATATCTCACAAATGTGTTATGAGACTCAAATAAGATAATGTATTTAATGCACCCAAGTATTGTACTACCTCTTAAAATAAATTAAAGAAATCATAGCTAAGATCTGGAAGGTGATATAATGGAAAGAGGCCAATGTTTGCAAGGAAAAGACTTGTCTATTAATCACATTTTACCATTTATTAGTTCTATAACCTTGGGAAAATTATTTAAATTCCCTGCAACTCAGTTTCCTCATCTGTAAAATGGGGACTATTTATACATTGCATTAAGTTGTTGTGAGCATAAAATTAAGTAATATGTCTGACAGTGTCTGGTATGTTGTAATTGCTATTATTATTAGGAGAATGACAACTGATAATGAATGTCTGCAATCTAAGAGTAGGAAATAATTTCCATGGAAACAGAATAAACACAAGGCACTATTTTATTTTCTTTTTCATGGCCATGTCTAAATCTTAAAATTGCTCAGAAGTCTTCATATTTAAGGTTGACAATCTGGTACATGAAATTCTCACTACTTTTGCCAAGACCTCACCAAATCAAATCTAGCACAAACTACAAAAGGTTAGGCTGTCCTTGTTCTCATAAATGTCAGTCAGCAACAGTAAAATAATAGATCTAATGTTTATGCAAATGTAAATGAGATTTAAAAAATTAACTCCAAAAAACTACACATACTGTTTAGAGTTTTAAATCATACTATCTTTTGATGGTTGCTATATGTTTTCTCTTTTATTACATTCCTTTTACTTCTTTTGAGAAATCTTAAAGAAAAAAGCAATAATGGATAGGTGGGGAAAATATTAAAAAATCTAAACTCGTAATTGATATAATCTAGTAAGTAATTATTCTTAGTCATAAGAAATCACCATAGAATGTCTTTAGTCTGTTCTCGGGAGGCATTTGGAAGTGTGTAATTAAAACACACTCGATTTTGGGGCGCCTGGTTGGCTCAGTCATTAAGCGTCTGCCTTTGGCTCAGGTCGTGATCCCAGGGTCCTGGGATCGAGCCCCGCATCGGGCTCCCTGCTCCACGGGAAGCCTGCCTCCCCCCCCCCACTTGTGTTCCTGCTCTCGCTAGCTCTCTCCCTGTCAAATAAATAAATAAAATCTTTTTAAAAAAATTAAAAATAAAACACACTAGATTTTCATACAACTTTCATCCACTACATAAAGTACACCTATGGTAGCCGGACTGCCAGACTTTAATTAGGAGAGTAATAAAGGGTTATGGTTTTTGTTTATCTGAAAGATTTCTAAGAAAGACTGAAAAGGAAATTTAACATTTACTACCTATGTCAGAGAAAAGAAACACATTAAGTGCTATACACTACACACTATTTCCTCAGAGATCATATCCCCAGCAACTCAATCACCTATACTATAACTGTAGACTCTTAAGAAAGGGAAAAGACCATGGGCTCCTAAAAGAGAGAACTCAAAATGAGGTACTTAACTTATCCAAGATTCCTGACTGTTGATTTTACCCTTACTTTATTTACAGCTTTAACCAACCTCAGCTCTTTTATTTTCTAGTTCACATAAGATTAGAGAAAGGAAGGGTGGAATGAAAATAGTAGTAGTTATGGATAGCCAAAATAATAGTACTATAAAGTTATACCCATTAGCTAAGGAAAACCAAAAAAGAATAATTATTAGAAGGCTGACTAGGGCTTTTCAGCAAAGCAGCACAAAAACTCTATCAAAACTGATGCACCCAGATGATGCTTACATAGCAAGCACTACTTGGGATAGAAGAGATACCTATGATTAATTTTATTCCTATCTAAAAAAGAGAGTAAAATAAAAGATTTTATTCTTAAAGTTGGAAAGCTTCAGCAATCTTGAAAAACTATCAACTGTATCCCCAACGATGTTGGCTAATGAAACACAACCAGTTTTCGACCTTACCTCCTCAATAGTATCTATTAAAATAAATGTAGTAGAAAATCCCATCCCTAATGCATTATAACAATTTCCCTATATCTAACTCAATACTTCCCCTTTAAGATTTATTTACTTGTTTTAGAAAGACAGACAGCATGAGCGGGAGAGGCAGAGGGAAAGGGAGAGAAAATTTCAAGCAGACTCTGCGCTGAGCATAGAGCCCAATACAGGGCTCCATCTCACGACCCCAAGATCACGACCTGAGCTGAAGCCAACTTGGACGCTCAACTGACTGTGCCACCCAGGCACCCCCAACTCAATACTTTCTTACATTAGTTTCCCTTCTCCTAACAATCAGCTGAACTTCTAATACTGAAATATGGTAATCTTGGGCAGTTAGATACAGCTAGCCAGCAAAATAAGAATTTTACAAACACTTGTTGTTTGTGTTCTTCATGAGAAAATTAGCTGGATGATGGCTCTTCACAGGTGAACTTGTTCAGCTAATAATTCAGAGCAAGCGCTGGTATGCTTACCATATAAAATAGTTATTTAAAGATGCTTTAAATAACTTAGCTAATCTTTGCTTAATACATGCACCGCAAATAAACTTGATCTTCCCAACTTTCTTTCTAAATATCCAGAAGTATATATCCTATAAAAAGACACTAAAAGACATTTAAAAACATCACTTACCTCATCACTTTCAGGCTGTGAAAACACAATCGGCTGGCCAGTATCTGAAGTTTCCCTTATATTAAGATGTAAGGGAATGTCTCCTAAAAGAGCCCACCAGACATCCATTAATACTACAAAAGTTTATAGAGGCATTTGGAATTTCACTATTTGAACTTTGGAAAAAAAAACCCAAATTTAAATTAAATTCATTAAAATCAACTTGAATTATGACTATCCTCAAGTTGCTAAATCTCTAAAAAAGGAATTTCAAATGAAAATTAGGGGCAACATATTCCATTTGAGGGTAGTTCAGGGATTGTATATGTATATATGAAAGCTACGTGGCAGCCAATCAAGGGATAAGGCCTCTGATTTATTCATTGCTAGAGGTCTTCCAGCAAGAAATGGCTTGGAAGACATTTGTAAAATTATTTCTCCCTGTAATATCTGATATAGACACATCATACCAAACAAGAAGAGAAAAATGAAGAGGAAAAGATGGGGAGACAAAGTCGTCCAAAAAAAGTATAACAAAATTACCTTCCTGATGTTGGCAGATGAGTGAGCTAAGAACTGCTGAAAAGTAAGGCACATCTGTTATCTCCACTACCTGCCTCTTTATCCAATGGAACTATTCTTCTTTTATCATGTATCAATCTATATAGCATTATATATAACTTGTGAACTTGATGAGATCTCAGGAAGTATATAAGAACCTCCACGATACAGACCTGAGGTTGGAAAAGTTGTGTGTCTTTCCTGAGGATATGTTACTACCATGTGGTAGAATTTAGGGGGAAAATGCTCTGATCCATCATCCAATTGACTCCACCACCCCTTCACAAATGAAGCCTTTTAAAAGGTTTGGACTTAAAATGCAGTAAATGGAGCCATAAGTAGAAAAGCTGACTCGTCATGGTACTGAGCATTCTTAGAACCACTCCAAATCCATGCAAGGGTTACTGAAATGTATGTGTGCTGTGTGTGTTTATATAAATAAGTCAGTCAGCACCATGCCAGGCTAGGTAAATAAAGCAGAAGTATATGTTACAAAATTACAAATCTATTAGAAGTTATATTATAAAGTACATAGAGGAACATATTTCATTCTCCTCTTGTCAGCAAATTTGAGAATCTTAATCAACTCTTTAAATCTTTCCTAAATGTTCAACAGCCAATAACAAAATACCTGAATATTTCAGTAGTCATTTAAAGATCAGCTTTTCAGTAAATCTAATGTCTAGTCTATAGATCAACTTAAGACTGTAAGAAACTGTCACGGGGTAAGGGAAAACATGTTAAAGAAAATTCTTAGAAACCCATAAAGCTTTTTCCTTGATTTATGCCATTATAGTAAGGAATCCTGAATGCTTTCATTTCTACTGCAGTAATGGAAGGAAAAAAATAAAGCAAAACCTTCTCCTTTATTTTTTTTTAAAGATTTTATTTATTTATTTGAGAGAGAGAGAGAATGAGAGATAGAAAGCACGAGAGGGAAGAGGGTCAGAGGGAGAAGCAGACTCCCCGCTGAGCAGGGAGCCCGATGTGGGACTTGATCCCGGGACTCCAGGATCATGACCTGAGCCGAAGGCAGTCGCTTAACCAACTGAGCCACCCAGGCGCCCAAAACCTTCTCCTTTATATAGTCACCTATCAACATAGTTTCTGCCTTCGAGAGACTCATAATTCTATCTATAAGCAGAGAAGAGTTGATAAAGAGGAAAACTTTTTTAGGAAATAGGTGGCTCACCATAGTGAGAGTGGTAGTGGGCTAACAGCTGTATATCAGAGAAGGATAAAAAGGAGTAATGGTATGGAGAGTGGGTAAAGTGCAGCTTGGCCTTGAAAAGTATCTTTGAGGGACCAGGTCTGAAGGAAGCAAAGGCATATTTCAGAGACATAATGACTATGCATAATCTGTCCTTGTAGGTAATATGGGGAAAGTTCTGAGAGCTATTTTACCAAATAATTTTTTAAATATAGCCCAATGGATGAAAATAAATTAAGAGGCAGCCAGGGAGTCAGTAAAGGACATATAAGGGTTCCTGGGGAGTTCAACCAGCTAGCCAGGAGGCCATTAACTGGGAGAGCTCTTACCCTGATTTCAGTTCCTTCTTCCTGACTCCAACTTCTTTGTTATTGGAGCCCCTGCTCCAGATCATGGGGGTGTCACTGGGCCCCATGACTGCATTAAAAGGAAGAGATGTGCCCTGAGTTGGAACTCTGAATTATTTTTCCCAGAACACTGTTAGATATAACAATCTATAAGCACTATCCATTTTTTTTTTGTGATCAGTAATCAGTGTTTCTGACACATTTTTAGGGTAACTAAACATTTCTGAGCTGTTGAGTAAAATGTAACTTCCATATGTGAGATTGCTTCCCTATGAGATATATTTCAAATTAAAATAAGTGATTTACAATATTGTACCGCCCATTTATAAATCAGGGAATTATAATATTTTCAGCATAACTCAATAATGCCATTATAATTACACATTTACTTTATTATATAAGTGAATGTCAATCTGTTGTTATTATGCATATTTGGGAAACTGAACTTTCTAGGTTAGTTAAATAAGAAAGAGTTGCAGAATATAATTAGTGGCTATAATTATAGCAATGTATCAAAATATATCATTAGTATTCACCTGGTACTGTGGCGGCTGCTATAGTGCAAATGCATAATAATAATAACGCATTTAACATCAACTTTTAGAAATTTAATTACAATAAAGAATGTTTTGAAATTCCTTGATCTCTAAGGGATCTTAATTGTTAACTACCTAAAACTAATAATTCACTCTATTTCTCCCTTATTCAGCATCTAACAACTGCCTTTGCCCAGAACAGAAACTCATTCAAAAGGAAAATATCAACACGTTTCCTAAAATGTCCATTAAGTTGCCTGTGGATTTTTGAAAAATTATGTTTTATCTAAAATCTGTGTTTTGTTCACTTAACACATTATTTACTTCTCATAACACTAATTAATCCTTCAATTCAGTAACATGAACAGTATGTACAATGTGAATTTCAGGTGCCATATCTCAGAGACATGGCAAAAACACACAAAAAGACTACAGAAAACAGAAAATATTATCTTTCTAGAGCAAAAGGACTGATAAATTCAGAACTTATCAGGAAGGCATTTTTTTCTTATGCACCAAGAACTGACACTTCCAAAGGTTGCTACAACACACTACCCAGGTGTTTTCACATACCTGTTTATACTGAGAGATGTGTCCCCTTAGCAAACAAACTGATGACCATTATTTAAAACAAGGACTTCAAATTACAGTACTCAGACCATGAAACTCTTCTCAAATTCAAGTTACAGGCAGTTTTTACCCACAGCAAAAGTTATAATTGGCAGACCAAACCTCCTCTTCAAAAAGCCTTCCACTAATGAAGTATTATAAAAAGCAAAGGAAGGTTAACACATACAACTCCCTACTATCTTAATTTAAAGCACAAAACTGAAGACAATTCATCATTTTCTGAGACACTCTTCATCACCACACCTTATCCTCACCTTCCCTTCTGCCATTTCCTCTGCGAAAGAATATCCTATGATCTTACCTAGAACATCAAGATCAAGGGTCCGTGCTAGTCTTCTTGCACCATCAGCACCAAAAATATGAGTTCTATGTTTACATTTTGGACACTGGAAAACACTCATATTTTGGACAAGGCCCAGGACCTAGAATAACAAAAACCATTGAAATTAAAACAAAATTAAACCAAATCTCAATCCATTATTTCAACAAGTTTTTACTCAGTGCCCACTGGGTTCTAGTGATCCAGTGATGAATAAGTTATGGTCTCTGCTTTATTTTTTATTATTTTTTTAAAGATTTTTATTTACTTATTTGTCAGAGAGAAAGAGAGAGAGAGCACAAGCAGGGGGAGCAGAAGAGGGAGAGGGAGAAGCAGGCTCCTCACTGAGCAAGGAGCCCGATGTGGGACTCAATCCCAGGACCCTGGGATCATGACCTGAGCCTAAGGCAGACGCTCAACAACTGAGCCACCCAGGCATCCCATGGTCTCTGCTTTAAAGGGAACTCAGAAGCTAGTGGGAGAGCAAAATACATATAATTAACTTTAATAATGTGATAAATGCTAAAGATAAAGAAATGACTGAGATAAAAAAATTCTGTCTGGGAAGACTAAGAGGTATCTCTGAGCTGCCCACATTACCCAGAATTGTTTCTTCTGGTTGAGGGTAAGAAGGGTTGAGGCCTACAGCATAAATTCTAGGAAGAAAGAGGAACACAAGCCAAGACAGTGAAATACTGCACATGACCTTTTTGGGCTGCACGCCAATGGAGGGCAAAGGCAGAAGTTGGTTTGATAAGGGAGGTCAGAGTCTGATGGCAAGGTGCTAAATGCCATTCATGACTTTCTTCTTGTGACAAAAGAAAACCACAAAAGATTTTTAAAGTTGAAAAGATGGTCCCATAAAAGGTTTTTCAAGTTGAAAAGATGGTCCCAAGAGGTAATGTTACACAATCAGATCTGTGTTTCAGAAATTTAACTCTGATAGCAATACAGAAAAAATAAGCAGAAAGAAACACAGGAAAATAAATGGAAAAGAGGCTATTGTGAATGAAGCCTCATAGTAAATGACAGCTAACAAATACTGAGTATTTATTATATACCAGGCACTCGGGTAAGTGTTTTAGATGAACTATCTTATTTACTCCTATCAAAAACTTTACGAGATGGGTATTTTATATCCCCATTCCATAGCTGAGAAAAAGAACACAGCCAGCAAAAGACGAAAACTCAGCTCTTACCAGAATGTTATCATTTCAAACAAAAATTTAAAGTCTTATAGAAAGTGTCCATCTCTGAGTTTCCCCAGCTTCTGGCACAAAATAGATACTTTATAAACATGTGCTAAATAAATAGACAGGCTCTGGGTGCCTGGGTGGCTCAGATGGTTAAGCATCTGCCTTCAGCTCAGGTCATGATCCCAGGGTCCTGGGATCGAGTCCCGCATCGGGCTCCCTGCTCCTTGGGAGCCTGCTTCTCCCTCTGCTTCTCTCTCTCTCTCTCTCTCTCTCTCCCCCCATCTCTCATGAATAAATAAATAAAATCTTTAAAAAAATAAATAAATAAATAGACAGGCTCTGCAAATATAATCCTTATTCATGTTTCTCTTAATCCCATTTTCTTAGTGAAAAGCAGTGCATCTCTTCTAGAATAAAAATAAGGAACACAATTATCAAAGGCTTAGAGATAACATGTCTATATTATCCTATCAACTCTACCAAAAAGATCATCATTATAGGAGATATCTCTATTAGAATATTTGCATTTTAAATGAAGAATAGCACTGACAATCCACAACGAACCATACAGACAAGAAGGTGATGAAATTTCTTATTCTTTCTGAAAAGAGAAACAGAACAGACTAAAGTTTCCCAGAACATATGCAAATGAAGACAAATTGTGAGGGACATAAATTTGTAGCTAAACATTTTCCAAGCATTTAATATATGCTCTTTTGCTGATGCAAAGTATTATAAAAAATAAATCATATTGTACTTTGGTAATTCAATACCATCTCCACAAAGCCAGAAGAAAACACAGCTAAAGATCACACACCTTATTTGTTTATTCAGTATGTCTATATCACTAAAGAATGAATGGGTCAACCAGGAAATTAAAGAAGAATTAAAAAAATTCATGGAAACAAATGAAAATGAAAACACAACTGTTCAAAATCTTTGGGATGCAGTATGTCTATATCACACATCCATTGCTTGAGCAGTTTTACTGCCATTTATGTTAAATGTGATATATTCCCTCACTACAGAGCTTTCAACTTAAGCATAAAAATATCACTCAAGACTTAATGGGAAAAGAAAAAACACTTAAATATTGCGAAAATCTAGGTGAGGGTATATTCCAATCCAGAGAGAACAGGAAAAGCATCCTTACTCCAGAATCTCTTGGACTCCCCAAGACATAGGAAGGTATGAAGCAAGGGTGTATTTTCAACTTACATGATTAACTTATTATCAATATCTTATTATTGTTCTCCAGGGTCTACATAAATGTCTCAGACATGTTCTCTATATAGACTACAAAATGTCATAAACATAAAACCGTAAGCAAACTCAATATTTAATGAGCGCCTATTATATGCCAGTAACTGAGCTAAACAATAGGAGTACCATACAGCGGTAAGCAAAAGGGACTTGATCGTTGCCCTCCTGGAGATTGCACACTAATTAGAGAAACAGGTGGAACAATTAATAGTACAAAAATCTACTTGAAAGATGGAAGAGCTTCTCTGGAAGCAAAATACAGAGGATTATGAGTGTAGAACAGAGAGAACTCCATCTACCCTGGGAGTCACAGAGGAGTTCCTTGAGGAAATATGTGACCTACAAGTTAAAGAATAAGCAAGTAAAAACAAGGAGAAAAGGAGGGAAAACTCTCAAGGAAGAAGTAGGGAGCACAAGTCTCCTTCAAGGAATTGAAAGAGGGATGGTGTGAGTGGGGTGAGATTTTTCTAGCAGGACACAAAGCACTAAACATAAATAAAAAAGTATTTTGTTAAACTGACTACATTAAAGTTAATAACTTAATTGGAAGACACAATTAAGAGAGTGAAAAGGCAAGCTATAAAGCAGGAGATGGGATTTATAATACACATCCATAACAAAGGGCTTTTATCTGGAATATATAGAGAACTCTACAAACCAACAAAAGAACATCAGAAATTTAAAAATGGGCAAGACTTAACAGGCACTCCTTAAAAGAGGGTATCCAAAGACCAACAAACTTGAGAAAAAGTTTTCAACTTCACTAATCATCAGAGAAATGCAAATTAGAACCACAATGAGATACCACACATTTATGCTTAAGACCTGATTAGAACAGATGAATGTCTATACGACAACAGCAAGAACAATAACAAATACCAAATCTTGGTGAGGACACAGCGCAAGTAAAACTCACAGTTTCCGCTGAGTGTAAACTGGTACAACCATTTTGGAAAACTGGAAAATTTATTTAAATTCAATTTAATTAACATATACTGTATTATTAGTTTCAGAGGTAGAATTTAGTGATTCATCAGTTGTAACACTCAGTGCTCATTACTTCTTCAAGTGCCCTCCTTAATGTCCATCACCCAGTTACCCCATCCCCCCACCCCTCTCCCCTCCAGCAACCCTCAGTTTGTTTCCTATAGTTAAGTCTCTCATGGTTTGTCTCCCTCTCTGATTTCATTTTATTTTTTCCTCTCTTCCCCTATGACCCTCTGTTTTGTTTCTTAAATTCCACATGAGTGAGATCATATGATAATTGTCTTTCTCTGACTGACTTATTTCACTTAGCATAATAGCCTCTAGTTCCATCCATATCATTGCAAGTCACCAGTCACTTTTTAGCAAGTGTGGTGAGCGTGTAGTGGTATCTCATTGTGCTGGACTTTTCAAATCGTTAATCTGTTTATACTGGGAACTATATTTCCTAGACTCTTCCTTCCTTTATGGTTCCTCATTAAAGTTCCCTAAAAGTAAAGTGACATGAATTTTGGGAGGTGGAAGTGAAGCCATAGGCATTACACCCTATAGTTTCCTTTGGTTAGAGGTAGGGAAAGAAATTTGCAGGAGTGCAGGTGTATTCTAGTTTGTCCTCCTTCTTCCTGGCACTGGGCCCATCCTCTGCACTGTGGCTTTAATTTGCATTGCCATAATTACTTATTAAAGTTAAGGTCATCTGTTGGGTGCCTGGGTGGCTCAGTTGGTTAAACAACTGCCTTTGGCTGGGGTCATGATCCCAGAGTCCCGGGATCAAGTCCCACGTCAGGCTCCCTGCTCAGCGGGGAGTCTGCTTCTCCCTCTGACCCTACCTCTCAAATAAATAAATAAAATCTTAAAAAAAAATAAGTAAATAAAGTTAAGGTCATCTGTTTTTTTTTCTGCATTTTAAAATATGGCTACTAAAACTTCTTAAATCACATTTGTGACTTGCATTACATTTCCATTGGACAGCACTATTATAGACAACTGAAGAGTGACCATAGAACTGACTTTGGTAGTTCTCCTATCTAATGTTTCAAGGTCCTAAAGATGCACAAGAACATTTATGAGGGCCAGTGATTTAGGAATATTTTTAAAAATTGAAGAAACATGAAACACTTACCTCCAAGACTATATAGGAAAGATAAACTGTCAAGTTTCTTTGCTTTTAATTGAAATTACATCAACTGAGTGTGATAACACACAGATTAGAATGAGAAAACAAATTACTTATTAAGATATGCAGAGTATGTGGCAGACAACTTTTTCAAACCACAGGGTTAGCTGGAAGAAAATTCAGAAGAGAACCTTGAGTATTAAAAAGATTAGAAAACACTATTCTAGTTTTTAAGAGTAGTGTTCTATAATCAATGAGTTTTGAATAGGAAGCAGTTAATATAAGAAAGAACACTAGAGTATCCATGTGACAATTTTATTCATAAAAATTCTCTTAAATAGGAGAGAGTTCATGTCCACGTGACCATCTCCTACTGTCCCCCCCAAATGCCTTATATTGTGTGAATACTTTATGTGTTGTTAAGCTGTTTATTATAGAGCTATTTTGTGTATCTTTGATAGCAGAAACATTAGAAAACAGATGTTTTGCCAGAGCTTAATTTACATAATACCATTGAGATGCAGCTGTAGGCATGCTCAATCA